CCGATCTCGATCAAGCGACACTGTTACAACCGTTACAACACAGCGCTAAGAGATCCAGTAAAGAAAACATTTGAGTTCGCCACTGAAGTAATAACATCGCTGCGAGATCTAGTGAGAAGCATTCACATTTCTCAGTTATTAACCGTAGATCTCTATTAGATCAAACAGCGCTGACGTGGACACCAGGAGAAACATTGTGCCGTGAATGAACTAGTAATACTTTACGTCCACAGACCAGCAACATCCACCATGAATTTAATATAGTAACACTAACTGTAACCAGTTTGGCTGGAATAGTGAAATGCTTTCAAGTACTTCACACATCTTTTTCCAGCTCTTCAAAACTCAAATATTATATAAATAAATAGCCTATATGAAGAGTTCAGATGCAAAAGCCTCTATAAGTGCCATTTGAAATTTTCTTCTAGAAATTAGAATAATCATTTTTATGAAGCTTGTACATTTAAGTTCAGTAATTTCACTCAAATGACAATTAATAGGCAATCTTCATTGCCATTTAAGTGAAATTACTGAACTTAAATATACAAGCTTGATAAAAATGATCATTCTAAGAAAATTTCAAATGGCTTTTGTATCTAAACTCTTCATAAATTTAAATGTTATTTTTAATGTGATGACCAAAACAATATTTGTTCATCCTTCAAAGATGACCCCCATTTATAAACCTGAAAGTTTCAAGATGTAGGAAAACTCACTTATTTAAAAAATATTTTTTCTTTTAACAAATAGGAAATTTTTCTGGCATTTCTTACTTTTTGCTGTATCGAAAACGTACCGAACCGTGACTTTAAAACCGAGGTACGTACCGAACCGTGATTTTTGTGTACCGTTACACCCCTACTTCTAAATGTTTAATTTTTACTACTAATATTTGTTAAATGAGCTTAAATGTATGCAATATGTATTTAAAACTATATAAAATATGCCATACTGTAATAAAAGGAATTCTCATGCAAACAAGTGGTTGTGTGGAGTATTTTTTTTTAAAGTTTAGAGGATTTAAGTTAATCCGTAAACAATAATTCATGTTTGAAGTAAAAAAGGAAGAGAAGAAAAAAAAAAAGCTAGTACTATAGTAAAAATGAATCAACCTAGTGTGCTGGGTTAAATAAACAACCGAATCTGTGTAAAATTAACCCCACATGTGTTCTGTCCTATATTTACCCAGGCCTTGGGTTGTTTTTAACCCAGTGTTTTTTAGAGTGTGACAAGCCTTTTGACACATAAAATGGAAAAGCCCCTGTGCTGATGTGAGCAAAGTCTGCCTAGAAAAGACAACAATTAAGAGAAAAACATTCGTGAAGGATTTGTGAAGCAAACTAGAGTAGTTCAATGCAAATGTGTGACACAAGAGTGACATAAGTTGTGTGAGTTACACAGTAAGTCTATTGACTTCAAATCTGATGAAGTTTGCATCTGTTATTTCCCTGTTTATTAAGATAAGATGATAAAGAAATGATCTTTTTTGCACGCTGACTTGTCTTGGCGATCACTGAAATGTGTCGCATTGCAAAACAACCCTACATCATCCAAAAGCACACACACACACACACACAGTCTTAATCCGATCCACCCACGTTAATCTGTAAACCGCGGTGTAAACAGGGCTGTCCTCAGATTAAAGCAGCACAAACCTGGGTCAGTGTTAAACTCAGCGACTGCAGGTGTTTGTGAGAATCGGTTTAGAAAACCGCTTTTGATGTCAATCCCCGTGTGTGTGCGGAGCATATTTATTCATAAAGACAGCGTCTGCTTTACCCAGCCATCCTGCTGTTAATATTACATGAGTAACAATCTCATTTCTGCCGCTGGAATTATTCATCAGCGCAAACTCGTACGCCGACACCAAATCAAAACACTGACACGCATATGCATGCTAACAACATCAACAACATCAGAGCGATCATCACGGGACACTTCAAGCTAACGAGTGGGAAACGAACTAAAGACGTGTTCAACAAGACGAATATTAATTATTACCCATCTAGTATTGGTAGGTTTAGGATTAGTTGTGGGGGAGGGGTTATGATTAGGGGAGGGGTTATAATTGGGGGAGGAGTCAGGATTAGGGGTGGAGTCAGTATTAGGGGAGGAGTTATGATTAGAGGATTTGTTACACCAGTAGGTGGCGACAAGTGACTGTTAAAAATGTATTGGTCATTAGCCCCTTTCACACAGAAATCCTGGTAAATTACAGTAAAATGACTTTTAGGATTACTTTACCGGTAAATACACAAATATGGTGTTCACAGAAGCAACGGCTTCTGGCTTTTTATCGGTGAGACCATTCACACACCAGCAGCAAAATATCGGTAAATTCTGATCCAAAAAATGATCTTTAAACGGCACGCAAATTGCCAGGAACCAAATTACTGGTATTTTTGAAAAGGTCCTGATCACATATGATCTGTTACTGGTAATTTACCAGTTAAGACAGTGTGAAAGGGGACATTGAATCATTCATTCAAGAGATTCGTTCAAAAACACTGATTCATCCAGTAATGTATTTATAAGTGAGTCATTGAATCATCCATTCAATCCGATTTTTTTTAAATAATTCATACAACTTGATTAAACATTTTAAATAGATTGCAGCAATTATTAACATTTTCTCAGAACCTCTAGTAAATTACATGTTATGTTTAGTTGTCTATTTTCTGTTCAGAATCATATGGAAGCTTATTTCCACCATAGAATTTAAAACGATAATTGCGACTTTCTCACAATTGCGAGTTTACATCTCGCAATTTTGACTTTATTTCTCAGAATTGCAAGATATAAACTTGCAATTCTGACTTTTTTCCCTCCCAATTGTGAGTTTAGGCTATTTCTCGCAATTGTGAATTTAGATCTCGCAATTCTAAATTTATAACATGCAATTGCGAGTTTATATCTCGTAATTCTGACATCTTTTCTCAGAACTGTGAGATATAGGCCTAAACTCACAATTATAAGTTATATACTCAAGTTATAAATTCTAAGGAAAGAAAAAATACTTTTTTCCTCAGAATTGCGAGTTTATATCTCACGGTTCTGACTTTATAACTCGCAATTGCGACTTTATATCACTCAATTCTGAGATGTAAACTCGTAATTGTGAGAAAAAATGTCAGAATTGTGAGATAAAAAGTCGCTATTACCTTTTTTATTTTTATTCTGTGGCGGAAACAAGCTTCCATAGAATCATGATCTCGATTTGAAACAAAAAAAAATCGTGTTTCTCGATTTATCCCAAATAGTGCAGCTCCAACCGTTCCCAATAGGATTAATGCATTTGGAAAGCAGACAGGACGAATTTACTTTTCATGCCGACTTTAAAATGGGGGCGACGTCTGCAGCAGAGAAGATAAAATGTGTTCGTCTGACAGCTGCCAGTGTGTGTGTGTGTGTGTGTGTGTGTGTGCATAGGAGACAGCGCCGCAGGTAAACGGATCAGACAGGCAGAAACACACTCTGAAGGGTGTAGATCTGCATCCAATCACACACACATGTACCTGAACTCTTCATAAAGCATTTAAAGGTTACAAAAACTCTCACAAAAGCACCTGATCAAAAGAGAAGCTCAAATGCCACTGAAGTCTTGCTGTTTAAAGGACAGCGTCTTCAACCGGGTGTTTAATCTGACATCTCAATTTAACATCAGGCTTCAGTAGAGGAACGTTCTTGAGCGAGGTTATCTGTCTCTACAGGCATTTGATATTAAAGAAGTCAAACAATGCAGAGCAACCCATTAAAAACCAGAAGCCGTTATCTGTGCATGTTTATTACGAGCTAAAGGAAACTGCAGCTGATGTAAACGGTGATAAACGACTTTCTTCTGTCTGCACTGTCATTTTTTTAAACCAAGATTATTATTTTAGTTTTTAATATACTTCAAAACAAACCATGTGCAAATTCATGTCAACACCATTGATGAGTATTTTCTCCTTAAAACTGTAGTTTCCATGATTATTATTTTAGTCTTTCTACTTCAAATTTTTCATGTTCACTACATGTTTAATTCAACGTGTTTTAATTTAATTATAAGTCAAATTTAGTAGTGATTTCTGATGAAAATTTATTCTAAGTAAATCCTACATTTGTTTGAATGTCAAAATCACACTTCAGATTATATTTTCTGAGAAATAATGAATCATGAATGATTTGAGGTGAAGGACATAAAGAGTCTCTTTCGCTGAGAAAAAATGTTCTATGGAAAAAACACGGTTTTGAGGTCATTTACCTCGGTCGTACCATGGTATTCTTTGAAGTCTAAATGTAATATTAAGCATTCATATAAAAATACCATGGTATTACCACCCTTACACCACAGAGACTCTACTTTTTAACTCTGTTTACATTCCACAGATGTTTTATGTGGAAACTAAACACAGGATGTCATGTTATGATTGACATTTAACTTTACTGATGTAGTAGCGAACAAACCACACCATATCATCAAACACATGATTAACAATATTCTTTTCACAAAAGATAAACAAAACGATAATTTTAGCACAGTTCGACGTTACAATAGAAAACAGCGACGAGCGTCGCGTCAGAATCGATGATGAAAATAACGGTCCCGCATTGTACCAGCACGCGCTCTCAGATCTATACAAATATCGATTTATTGATTATTATCACACTACTCATCCTCATACAGACACACAACATCCCCCTGACTGAGAGCCAACTTGACCAACAACTCAAACCAAACACAGTCGAACAGAAACACCGCTAAAGCCGCATCGCGCGCGAATGCCGCAGTAAGAAAGTACACGAGCAAAACGAGCCGTTTTTAACGAACACAAGCGTTCACAAAGTTGCTGAGGAGCGAGACTGGAACGACCTCCATTCCTCCCTCCCGTGTCTGACTCCGATACCCGCCGATGAGGCGTCGAGCTCGGGCTGTTTTCTCTCCAACAGTTCCTGCAGAGAATCCCGCGGAAATAAGTTCTAGCGGCAGAATCCATGGTGACGTGTACGTGCCTACTTACCGCGCGCCGAAAGCCGTTATATTCCAAATGTATATATCGCGGGAAAGTGCGCTGATGTGTGGCGCGTGAAGTGAAGGAGCTCGAGCTTCAGACTGAAGTCACTCCTTCCGGGCGGGGCCAAAAACAGCGGCTCAATTCACTCACATCCTACAGGAAATTACTCTCATCTTCTTGACATTTCTGTCTGTCTGCTGATGTTGTTCTTAAAGTCACCATGAAATCAAAATTGACCATTCGTATGGAATATTGCAGTGTTTATTAATAAATAATATTCTTTTTTTATTATTCATGTGCCCTCTCACTGGTTTATGAGGGTTTTAAAAGACGAAATAGCTTGGATTTTTATTTTTAGAAACTAAGTAAGGGCTTTTGCTGACTGATTTTTTTTAGGATGAATGTTAAATTTGTCAAGCTGCATTAAAAGTTTAATTATAAAGTAGGTTCTTATTATAGAAACCGACATTCAGATTTAAAGCACCAAATCACATATTAGTTAATAAACTTACAAAAATCAATTCAGAATAATTGTGTGGGTGATAAGGACAGTTACAAAATATATGAAACTCTTTTCTGGTGACGTGTTTACTGGCGCGAGGGAGGGGCTATAACCTGTCACTCACATGAGATCCTCCAATAGCAAACCACAACCATCCAATCAATTCCCCACGGACAAAATCAAGCCCCGCCCACATTTGTTCTTGTTCCAGAAGCTTCTCACTCGGATATACAGCATTATAGGGAAGAGGTATCATTATTTTTAGATGACACTATGGAATTTAATATTCAACTTTTTAAAGGGGTGGTCGATTTGATTATGATTTCACTTTTCTAGCTGTAGTTAGTGTGTAATGTTGCTGTTTGAGCATAAACAACATCCTCACAGTTACGACGCTCAAAGTCCAAAGCAAAGGGAGATATTTTCTATTACAGAAATCTCTTTTTAAGGACTACAACAAACGGCTGGTAGAACTACACGAGCTTCCTCCTGGGTCACCAACCCTAATATTTACATAACCCCGCCCCCTGAACACACAGTCCATGTAGAGAAGAGGAAGAGTTGCTGTAGTCGAGCACATTTGTGAGTTCAAGCTCAAGCTTGCGCATCCGTCTTTCACATGCACACACACATTTCGTGTGTGTGAAAAAGATGCGAGATGGAAAACTGCATTTGATATTCTACTGGTCTCGCAGCATTTCCTAAAGAACTAGGTCAGCACTCTGAGTGAGAGTGTGTGTGTGTGTGTGTTTAAGTGAGTGTCACAGACGTGTGTGTGTGACTGTGTGTGTGTGTCTGTGTCTGTGAGTGTGTGTGTGTGTGTTTGAGTGAGCGTCGCAGACATGTGTGTGTGTGACTGTGAGTGTGTGTGTGTGTTGAAGTGAGCGTCGCAGACATGTGTGTGTGTGTGTGTGTGTCTGTAAGTGTGTCTGTAAGTGTGTGTGTCTGTGTGTCTGTCTGTGAGTGTGACTGTGTGTTTGAGTGAGCGTCGCAGACATGTGTGTTTGTGTGTGTGTGTGTGTGTGTCTGTGAGTGTGTGTGTGTGTGTACGTGTGTCAGTGAGTGGGTGTGTCTGTATGTGTGTGTCTGTCTGAGTGTGTGTCTGTGAGTGTGTGTGTGTGTCTGAGTGAGTGCGACTGTGTGTGTACCTGTGTCTGTGAGTGTGCGTGTGTGTCTGTCTGTGAGTGTGTGTCTGTGAGTGTGTGTGTGTGTGTGTATGTGAGTGTGTGTCTGTCTGTGAGTGTGTGAGTGTGTGTGTCTGTGTGTCTGTGAGTGTGTCTGTGTGAGTGTCTGTGAGTGTGTGTGTGTCTGTGAGTGTGTGTGTGTCTGTGTGAGTGTGTGTGTCTGTGTGAGTGTGTGTGTGTTGAAGTGAGCGTCGCAGACGTGTGTGTGTGTGTGTCTGTAAGTGTGTGTGTCTGTATGTCTGTCTGTGAGTGTGTGTGTGTGTGTGTTTGAGTGAGCGTCGCAGACATGTATGTGTGTGACTGTGTTTGAGTGAGCGTCGCAGACGTGTGTGTGTGTGTGTGTGTGTCTGTGAGTGTGTGTGTGTCTGTGAGTGTGTCTGTGAGTGTGTCTGTGTGAGTGTGTGTGTCTGTGTGAGTGCGTGTGTGTCTGTGAGTGTGTCTGTGTGTGAGTGTGTGTTGTACATCCTCTCAAGATGGTGACTGAGTGCGTCTCTGTGTGTGTTTGATAAGCATCATCATCCTCTCCCGCTGTATAATGTGTGTGTCACAGACAGACGGTTTCCCGCAGAGAGAGAGACGGTGGGGAGACATTATAGTGAAGAAAAGACTGTTATTTATGGGATAGAAATTTCAAACACACTGGTTCTTATTTGAGAAGCAAGCCATATGAATATTGGGCATGAAAATAAAAAATAATACTTTTCCTCCTGCAGGCGCTGGTCCTTCTGCACATCATCAGTTGCTTTGCTGCGTATCGATTGGTTCTGGAGGCTGAACCGGCCCGTGAGGGTCCAGACGTGCACTTCATCAAGCGTCCCATCGAGTCACACACACACACACACACACACACACACACTCACATCGAGACCTGCAGCATCTCAGTGTCTTAAATCATGTCCTTACAATCCCTTACGCATCGATTAGAGCCGCATCGACTCGATCCCGCACATGCTTGTGTTCCCCCAGTGATGAGAGTAATTGAGTTATAGAAGAGCTGTGATCATAAACTGCACTCAGAGCTTCTTCAGGCTCAGTCTGGGTCTGGAGTTCTGCTGGACGACACTAATCGCTCTCCTCCGCTTCACTGAAGTCTCATCCGATCATGAACACTGGACTGAGACACAACATGAGCTTGATTCTGCTTGTGTGTGTGTGTGTGTGTCAGTGAGTGACACTGTGTGTGTGTGTGTGTGTGTGTGTGTGTGTGTCAGTGAGTGAGACTGTGTGTGTGTGTGTGTGTCAGTGAGTGAGACTGTGTGTGTGTGTGTGTGTGTGTGTGTGTGTGTCAGTGAGTGACACTGTGTGTGTGTGTGTGTGTGTGTGTGTGTGTGTGTCAGTGAGTGAGACTGTGTGTGTGTGTGTGTGTGTCAGTGAGTGAGACTGTGTGTGTGTGTGTGTGTGTGTGTGTGTGTCAGTGAGTGACACTGTGTGTGTGTGTGTGTGTGTGTGTGTGTCAGTGAGTGAGACTGTGTGTGTGTGTGTGTGTGTGTGTGTGTGTGTGTCAGTGAGTGAGACTGTGTGTGTGTGTGTGTGTGTGTGTGTGTCAGTGAGTGAGACTGTGTGTGTGTCAGTGAGTGACACTGTGTGTGTGTGTGTGTGTGTGTGTGTGTGTGTGTGTGTGTGTGTGTGTGTCAGTGAGTGAGACTGTGTGTGTGTCAGTGAGTGAGACTGTGTGTGTGTGTGTGTGTGTGTGTGTGTCAGTGAGTGAGACTGTGTGTGTGTCAGTGAGTGAGACTGTGTGTGTGTGTGTGTGTGTGTGTGTGTGTCAGTGAGTGAGACTGTGTATGTGTCAGTGAGTGAGACTGTGTGTGTGTGTGTGTGTGTGTGTGTGTGTGTGTGTGTGTGTGTGTCAGTGAGTGAGACTGTGTGTGTGTGTGTGTGTGTGTGTGTCAGTGAGTGAGACTGTGTGTGTGTCAGTGAGTGAGACTGTGTGTGTGTGTGTGTGTGTGTGTGTCAGTGAGTGAGACTGTGTATGTGTCAGTGAGTGAGACTGTGTGTGTGTGTGTGTGTGTGTGTATGTGTCAGTGAGTGAGACTGTGTGTGTGTGTGTGTCAGTGAGTGAGACTGTGTGTGTGTGTCGGTGTGATACACTGTGTGTGTGTGTGTGTGTGTGTGTGTCAGTGAATGACACTGTGTGTGTGTGTGTGTGTGTGTGTGTGTGTCAGTGAGTGACACTGTGTGTGTGTGTGTGTGTGTGTGTGTGTGTGTGTGTGTGTCAGTGAGTGACACTGTGTGTGTGTGTGTGTGTGTGTGTGTGTGTGTGTGTGTGTGTGTGTCAGTGAGTGAGACTGTGTGTGTGTGTCGGTGTGATACACTGTGTGTGTGTGTGTGTGTGTGTGTGTGTGTGTGTCAGTGAGTGACACTGTGTGTGTGTGTGTGTGTGTGTGTGTCAGTGAGTGACACTGTGTGTGTGTGTGTGTGTGTGTGTGTGTCAGTGAGTGACACTGTGTGTGTGTGTGTGTGTGTGTGTGTGTCAGTGAATGACACTGTGTGTGTGTGTGTGTGTGTGTGTGTGTGTCAGTGAATGACACTGTGTGTGTGTGTGTGTGTGTGTGTGTCAGTGAATGACACTGTGTGTGTGTGTGTGTCAGTGAGTGACACTGTGTGTGTGTGTGTGTGTGTGTGTGTCAGTGAGTGACACTGTGTGTGAGTGAGTGTGTGTGTGTGTGTGTGTGTGTGTGTGTGTGTGTGTGTGTGTCAGTGAGTGAGACGGGGTGTGTGTGTGTGTGTGTGTGTCAGTGAGTGAGACTGTGTGTGTGTGTGTGTGTGTGTCAGTGAGTGAGACTGTGTGTATGTGTGTGTGTCAGTGAGTGAGACTGTGTGTGTGTGTCGGTGTGAGACTGTGTGTGTTTGTCCAGTATAAAAGTCATTACGCCTATGGAATGTCCTCATATATCACAAAAACAAAGCTGTGTGTGTGTGTGTGTGTGTCTGTGTGTGTGTGTGTGTGTCAGTGAATGACACTGTGTGTGTGTGTGTGTGTGTGTGTGTCAGTGAATGACACTGTGTGTGTGTGTGTGTGTGTGTGTGTGTCAGTGAGTGACACTGTGTGTGTGTGTGTGTGTCAGTGAGTGACACTGTGTGTGTGTGTGTGTGTGTGTGTGTGTGTCAGTGAGTGACACTGTGTGTGAATGTGTGTGTGTGTGTGTGTGTGTGTGTGTCCGTGAGTGACACTGTGTGTGTGTGTGTGTGTGTCACTGTGTGTGTGTGTGTGTGTGTGTGTGTGTGTGTGTCAGTGAGTGACACTGTGTGTGTGTGTGTCAGTGAGTGACACTGTGTCAGTGAGTGACACTGTGTGTGTGTGTGTGTGTGTGTGTCAGTGAGTGACACTGTATGTGTGTGTGTGTGTGTGTGTGTGTGTGTGTGTGTGTGTGCTCTTTTTTTATTACATTGTGAGGACTAGCCAATGGTCCCCACAAGGGAAATTGATTAATGAAC